CCCCCCCTGCTTAATCAGCATCCCACATTGCTAACTTGGCACTCTTCATTGCTGGCCTGACAGCCCCCATCCCTTCCCTAATCGGTTACCCTATCGCTAACTTGGCACTCCCCACTGCTAACTTGGCACCCCCTTTGCCTAGTCACCACACCCTTTGGTAAGTTGGCACCTCCTCCTTACCTAGTACTGCTCCCGTGGCACGGAATACTTCCATTTTGAAAACCACAACACATTAAGGAAACACAATTCATTTAAAAATAAAATTTACTTATTGTTTTTCCTCGATGTCTTTATGTTTTTGTGTCTTCTTAATGTTTTCGCATTGTCAGTGTTTTTGGATTGTGTTAATGTTGACGTGTTCTATGCTTTCAGGGCTACTGTACCATAACCATTTTTTTATCTCTTCAAAACACGTATCTTATTCCAAATTATTTTTTATATTTTCCACATAAATTATTCATTGTAATCTGTAAACAGTGACACATTAGGTGACATAACTGTCAGATGGGATATTAACTGAAACATTTGTGTAACATTAGAACAGGAAGTTCTCTTGTGCTTACAAGGACACATCTGGGACCGTAGTATTACAGTACATGCCACCTTTTTGAATATTGTCAATATACCAATCCAAACCACAGATGGGAGAAAATAAGACCACCATAATGTTGGCTAGAGAATAAATGAAACCCTAGGTTTCTTGATATTCCTGAATAAATTCAATTTCCTATTTTTTATTTTTTTTTTAAAGAGTCCAAAGGGAGTGTTAACCACAACCCAAACACAGCTCTTTCTGACGCTGAAGCAGTCCCTAGGGGTGCTGTAAAATGTCAGTATTGTCTCCCTAAATACAAATCAAACACTGCCATTAGTTATTCTGTTTATTTGTCCGTTTACATGTATTTGTGATTGGAAGAATCATTCATCCTATATATTTTTATTTGGGGCATCTTAAATTCACATGATCAGGATATACAGTGCCTTGAAAAAGTATTGACTCCCCCCCCCCTTAAATGATCAAATTTGGCACTTTGTTTTACACCAAACTCATCAAGGTATAAACTCGATACGATGCTCCCTGGGTTATGATGGGGTTATGTTCTGATAATCCTATCGTATGGTGAAAATGCATTTTAATAGAGTACACCTAAACTAACAAACATCATAATCTAGCCTAACCTACCTTAATCATGCTTAGAACACTTTACCATTAACATTAATTATTGGATAATCATACCCATGGTATGAAATACGTATCGTAACACGGACCATCGTAACCCAGGGAACATTGTAAGTAGCAGATAAAGCTGTTGTGTGTATTTTGCATATGCATAAATATTAAATAAGGAACAATAGTTAACAACCCTGTGGGGGAAACTGATACTGATATATATATGTGTGAAATATTTAGTAAAATGAAAACTTTCCTGTTTAGTAGGAAGGCTATTTTGTGACTTTTTGTAAACACATTCCCAATTTTGACTGATGTTTATGTATCTGGGCTTTGTTTCATCTG